AAAGCACCCACCAGGTAGCCCCCGTTTGGCCGGAAAAGTTACCGCTGCACGGGCCAGACCGGCTGCCGAACTTTTTACCATTTTTCAAAGCCTCCCTCCCCACCGACTACACTTCTTTTCCCTTTGCAGACACGAGGAGGTGGCCTGCCCCTCTTTGGAATCAATGCACGAGTGATTCTCGCTTTCTGCCTGCCTCTACCGATGTTTCTCTGCCAGCGCGAGTACATATACACGTTTACACTTTCGGGTCCCCGACTTAGCAAATAAATTCCAGCCGAGCGCCAGAAGCTCCTCCGCGGGAAAAAATTTTTAATAAAACTTTGGCGCTCGCGCTACGTGCGCCTACTAGTTGCCGTGTACACACAAGCGCGTTTGGATTTTAATTTGAGCAGGTTGTATCCGAGAGAGCGATCGACGCGAGCTCGGTGTACTGTGTTTCAAAAATAAAGGGAGGAAAAGAGAAATTGTAAGTTACAGGTAGCGCGTGCGAAAATTCGCCGTCGAAAGCTTGTGCGAGCCACGGTTAACGCGAGGGGAGCTTGCACGCTGTGAAAAGGCCGTATGCACATCCCTCCTTTGCAACGTATGGCAGTATATACCTATACACGCACAGTGCCGTGCAGCCTCTTTGAAGAAGCCGGGGGGGAGGAACCCTTTTCCCGAGCCCCCGCGTCTATTAGCCGCCCTTGCTCTTTTTCTCTCCCCCTTTGAGTTTTTCTTTTTTTTTTTTGTTTTTTTTTTTCCTTCTCTTGGCTCCTTTTTTTTCACAATATTGAGAGGAAGCAGCTCCGGCTATGGTATTTAACGTCCGGGAGGAGGGCCTTTTGTCCTGCTGATTTTTTTTTTTTTTTTTGTTCATCTTCAACGAGATCTCGTGCATAAATTATCATGCCAGCGAGTGGTTCGCTTGCAAATACACGTGTATGGATAAAAACCATCAACATTATTGTATACCTTTGGTCGAAAAGTACGTGTTTCATTTCATTAAAATGGCATCAAAGAGCCGCATGGTCGCGTTTCAATCCTCCTCTGCACTTTCAAAGAGGAATTTGGCTTCGGTGACGATGAAAATCGTCCGACTCATCAAGCTTATTAATAACAAAAGTTGTCACCCCGCAAGGGAGTATGGAGAAAAAAAAAAGTACAGAGGCCTCCCTCCGTTGTAAAGCAACGCTTTGAGCGAGTGACAAACAACTCTCCCGCTCGCTCGGCTTAGCTTTTTTCGAGCCGGTGTTATTTTTCTCTCTCTCTCTCTCTCCCCCTTCCCTCTTTTGCTAGATAATTAATTAACGCCGAACAGCATCAGTCCTCGCGTGCATATGGCGCGGGGCTTTATTTTCACTTAACCCCCCCCCCCTCTTTTTTACCCGTCAACAACGCCGAGCTTTTGCATCCAGATTTTTCATTTGCAGCTGTTTAACGTCAGTGCTCCGTTTCAACTAAAACAAGAGTGTAGGAAGGCAAAGTTTATATCGGATCTGCCGCCACTGGTGCTGCTGTTCAAAGTTTCCCCGACAACCGAATAAGGTTGCGCTTTCTCGCCCCCACCGGCGATCCACTTCGGTTGTACTTTTTGTTGCTGCTTTGTCGTCTCTATGCAAATCTTTCGCCTCCTCTCGCGCGCGACGAATATTTCATACCGCGAACTTTGTCTCCTCTTGGAGTGTCATATACTTATGTACACGTATGAATTTACTTTGGTACCCGCGCGATGATGCATATGATATACTTGATGTGTATTGGATACGAAGGGGACACATCATAGGGTTGACTGCAAGTATGAATTAATTCCGTTGCCAACGCCAACATATTATATAGTGTAGTATAGTGTACGTCGACAAGGTCGTAAAATTACCGCAGGGAAAAAGAAAAGAGCGGAATAGTCGAAAAAGTGTGCCATCGTCCGAGGAGAGGAGCAACCGCGTCAGGGGAGTTGAGGTGCTTTAAAAATATATGTATACTACGTACTGCCGCAGCAAGAAATAAAAAGACGTAGAGATGGGTCTCGTCACCCCCCACACCGAGTAAGTATATATACATATAGGTACCTCGAAGCTTGGTATCATGAATTCCGCATGCGAGCCCCCCTGCCCCCTAAGTAGTAATGCGACCCTGTCCTTGGAAGAAATCCCTCCATCTCGAGACCCTTCCACCGATAATGCATTAGCAACAACGGGGAATGATAAAAGAAAAGGGCCCCCCCGACTTACCTACGTGCGTGGAGGCCAACCCCCCCGAACCCTCTATACTTGATTACTATTTCACTACACGAAAAGCCGGTACTTATGTAAGTATATCATTCTGTTTCCATATTATGTATACAAATTCCACGTGTTTGTATCGCCGTGCTCTTGTTACAAATTAAAATTGAACGAGCTCTCTTGTAACTTGAATTATTTAATCTTCGGTGTGTAGAGTACCATACAAAATGGGATATAAGCGCAAAGCGAATGGGCTCATCGCACGCGTTCGCTGGTAGGTATATAATATATAAAAAAAAAAAACAAAACAAAAAAAACCAAACACGAGCGTGTGAGAGAATAGCTAAAGTAGAGAGGCAAATTAGGAGGGAGATAAGCATGGGAACGAGTAAGTCCTGCGGACATGTATATCGCGTGACGAGAAATTGCTATCGGACACGTGGGTGTACACGGGGAATCGATGCAACGGCTTTTATACGTCGCTTTAAGTGATTTTGACAGACGGTTCCCACGAGCATGCACGTTCGTGCACTGTCTCGCGAATTCGGGGGCTGATGGGGTTTACCCGAGACCACGTCTGGCTCGCCTTCGAAGAAAGACTGATTCCTTCGAGGGAGTGTGTATTATTAACTCGAGTATACAGGGTACAACCCTCTATCCACGAATGACATTTTTTTTTCTTATTGTCCTCTATAAACGATCGAAGCCAATGCAGCATAGCTCATTGTTCAGATTCGTCGAGGCGTAACGTCGACCGGTCAAATGAAAAATTAAGGCACTCGGACGCCTCTCTGTGTGCGCATATAAAATAAATAGCACGGGGCTGCAGGGTGCTAAACGACTCCTGAAAAATTAAGAGAGCCGAGGGACGGCCCGGACGTATAAATTATGCGCGCTAATAAAGTATCGCATCACGCGTGCGCGCGCTTCGGCCGCAGAAAGGCACCTGTATTTTTTTTTTTTTTTTTTGTTTTTCCTCTCATGTAGGGTATGTGTGTGTGGTGGAATTTAACGCAGGTGCGTTTCGCAAGGGAAAAGTGCCGGGAGATAACGCGCCTCCTCCTACCCCTTGGACTCTACGGGCGAACCGGCTAGCGTGTATACAACCGTGAACCGCCATTAGTTTACGGTCCCCAAGGGCAAGGGAACGCCGTCGGGAGGGTCGTCGTCGCATGGATATGTGCGCGTCGAGGGACGCCCTCCCTGGCTCACCCTCTCTCGAGCGTACATGTACCTCCACTACCGAGCCGAAAGTTATAATTGCTGCGTGTTGCGTGGCTGCGGTGGTGTATAGCCGAACTCGTGACTTTTTACGATCGCTTCTCTCTCTTTGCTGGCGCATTTTTTTTTTTTTTTTTTACCACGCGACGGACCGCAATGTCTGTATATCCTCCTCGGCGTGTGTACAATAATCAACTCTTACGCCGTTGTATCGGCTAACTGGTTACGTTTGGTCGAGTCACCGGAGTGATTTTTTAAATTCCATTTCCGCGCGTCCGCCGTACGGCTATTCGATCCATACACCCGAATCACACCGTTTACGTTCGGTACTTGGGATCATTGTGTTCGAAACGTTAAATCTCGTTTAGGGTCGTGGTTCTCTCTCTCTCTGGGCCGATGTGTACGTATGGCTTACCCCTTTTGCTCGCCCATTGAATTTAAAAGTGTACATCCCCTCGGTTATGATGAACTTTTAATGTTGTTTCTAAACTCGAATGGTCTCTTTGAAAGCCAACCTCTGATGCTGATTGAATTACGAGGGGGCTTTTGCTGTGTTTCATATTGAAAAGTTAATTTTACCTCGTTGTTTAAAATTTTTCGACAAATACGTACATGGTTATATGTATATATGTGTGGATGAAAAAATAATAACCAATCAAGCGTTTGATTTGCTTTTCATCGGGGCGAAAAAAGTTGAAAAGCCGATCATTACTCTCCACTTGGCCGCATCAGTTTCCGGCGAGGTGAGCCTGCAATTTCCTCAAGCTTCCGCCTAATCGCCGTGGTTGGGGCTTATCCCTTCGAATCCGGGTCGAGTTGCTCGGGCACTTTTTTATATGACAGCGGCCTTTTTTTCTTTCCTTTCTTTTTTTTTTTTTTTTTGCCACCCATACGCGTGGGTGCAGCCGTGCGTGATGAAGCCGTAGTCTCTTCATCTTGTGGGAACCGAATCAGCATTTGCATCGGCAGATTTCTGGCCACAGGTCCCTTTTTTTGCGGGTCCGTACGTATCGGTCACGTGACGTCAGCTGCTAGCAAAAACTGTGTGATAAGCGTGAGCTCAGACCTCGACGTATATATGCGGGGAATGAGAGTGGAAAGAATGGGGTTCCCTTTTGGCGATATTTTATTGCGTTTTTTCGCGCCGATGGCGTCCTCGTGATTAAAACTCTTGGAGCGGGAAAATCTGTGAGTGTAAAGTTTTCACTTATTAGCTCCCCTTGTGTATTCGATTCTCGAGAGATTCTCGTGAAACTCGATGATAAAGTTTTAGCCGGCAACCCAAGGGCGGCCTATCGGCCTTTCAGCTGTAAATAAAGTACACGCCCGGCATTATTTTCCTTTTACGAGCGGAACTCGAGGACTTTTTTCATATTGGCTGCTCAAACTATTTTTTTTTTCACTCGTTATTTAATGTACGTCCGTTGAAAAGTATTTTCAAACTTAAAGATACAACTACAGTTTAAAGATTAAAAAGTTTTACTATAATCGTACCTTTAGCTAGAACGTAGCGAAGTTTGAACAATATTCAATATTTACATGTACAACTATATCTATGTAATTGTAACCCTTCATGGTTTACGGTGGAGTATTTAGGGCAACGTGGTAATCTTGGAGCCTCTGTAGCCAAAGTTTCCAGTACATTTTTAGTAAGTCTTCATTTACTTCGTGCACCGTTGCTGGATCTCCATTTGTGTAGGCCACTGCAATAAGCCCTTTTTTTATCTAAAAAAAAAAAAATTCAAATAATTGTTTGCATACTTGGCTCAATATTGATGAAAAATAATTATATCATGATTTTGTGCTATTTTACCTGAAAAGGGTAATTCGGATCGGAATTTACAGCACCAATGTAAGAAGCTAACTGAAGAGGAGCGTCGTAAGTAGCGCCAATGGTACTCTTAGCTTTATCTGACTTTTTCCAATCGATAATACACAGTTCGCCTCTAAAAATTTATAAAAATACGTTTTGAAACAAATATAAGACTTTGAGCTTATAATTTAAGTAAGATCCGACATCTACTGTATCAAAGTAGAATTCAAATACATGCCACATGCACAAATGGGATTTCTGTATTACCTATAAGTGGCAATACAATCTACCACTCCTCTGTACATCAGTCTTGAATGAATAGCATGAGATTCAACAGCTCTCACTTGATTGATATCTTCCAGCACGTTACCAAGGCTGTCGAATGATTGTTTAATTTTATTAGGCACATCGTAAGGTTTTTGCGTCAAGTGAGACATAATTATTGTATGCAGTAATTTTCCATCTTCAAACAACTCTGAAAGAGATTATACCATTGTAATATTTTCATAAATTGTTGATGGACATGAAGGAAAATTTAATACCTGCTTGATAAATTTCAAAACCTTTAAGACCTAGCTTTTCAATCATTTTCTTTTTCCATTTTTCAAGTATACTCTTCGCCTCTTCTGACATAGTTGCCGAGAGAATCTTTGTCACACTTGGATATTTCAAGCAGGCTTTGTTTGCCATGGCTGACAAAGTGATAACTTTGGAACTACCATCCCACCGTTCATCGCTAGTTTTGGTCACTTCGTACATAGGAAAATGTAACAACTTTTGCACAATGGCTTTAGGTAACAGAGTATTGTTAGATTGATGGTTTTCTGTTTTCAATGTCCTTTTTTCTTCTTTGGCATTGTTATCAACTTTGTTACTACAATCATTCATGACATTCTCTGGTTTAGCTGCTTGTCTCTCTAAATTTGTGGGTAAATTTTCGTTTGCATCTTTCGGCTGTATACTTATGACATTTAACTTTTTACAAGTACTCAACATCCATGCAAACTCCGAATTAATTGTGGATGGTGGTGACCTAGTCAACTTTCCGGCAGATTCCAGCTTCAGACGCTTCAATCTTTGTTCCTGAGTCTCGATAAGTTTGCCAAAAAACATGTTGTCTTCTTTATTTTTGCGCTTTAGTTTGTCAAGTTTGTTGCTTTTGCCGGAACAATTTCGCACTCGCGTAAAAGATTTCGAATGTTCAAACGGACGCGCCAGAAGCGCAAAGCCGCGCGCCTTACAAAGAAACATAACCTCAGCTCGTTCAACAACAATTCAATGAAATAAAACAAACGCTGATTACTTTAACATTTAAAACTTTCAAAAGATCATAAGAAAAAAACTACGATTGCATTTTTTTGCAGTACGGCATGTGACAGCAATGAGCTTTGCATCACATGTTTAGAGAAAGTAGCACTACACCACGTAATATCTGAATTGAACACTCAAGTTTCATGCACCGAATTTAATTGTTGCAAAAACGTAAAATTATTGTTCAAGTTACAAATGCGGACGGTGAATTTTACAGATAAGGGACTGAAGTGACAACAGTACCGTACGAATGCTGTTTGTTGTCAAAAACATGTGATAACATGTATTATAAACATGTGCCCCAGTGAAAAGGACCCGTCTCGCCATCTGATGCCTTAAAAGCGTACCCGGAGGGCATTCACTCTGTTAGTAAGATAGTGATCTACCGATCGTTTAACCGATTTCATGAATTTTTAAATAAAATCGAATCCAAGACAGTTGTTTTGTTATATTTGTATTAAAAACTAATCGACAAACATCAAACACATAAATAAAACTCGTTGCGTAAACACGCAATTACATATGCCCTAATGGTTATAAATAGTTTTAATTTCACTTACGTAAATTTCCATAAAAAAAAAAAAAAAAAAAAATCGTCATCTACAATTTACGCTTTACTTTTTAATTGAGCTCTGCTTTGAGCTATGACTTAACAGTCACCTACAACCAAGTCTTACACAGTTGCAGGTATGTACTCCAGTAGTTGAAGGTTAATCGCAAAAAAAAAAAAAAAAAAAAAAAACAAACGCTTCTTAGAGGCGCTTTCACCGAAATAAATCCCACGGCGCGGACAGTCAAAATCACCTGATTATGTATGAAGGCAGCTCCGTAACCCGGAGTCCTTAAATTTCAGTATTGCATAAAAAAAAGGCGTGTGTTTAATTACGAAAAAAAAAGAAAAAAAAAAAAAAAAGAAAAAGTCATAAACGTACATAGTCGAATTCGACGTACAGTCCACCGGCTTATGACGTTGTTGGGCAACGAGATGAGTGGCAAGGTTCTAAAATATCGCGGGAGCCGTTCGGGTGTCCCCTTACGCGTCGGCGTCCCCTTTCTTCCGCACCTTATTAACTCTCGCGAAATTTTGTAACAAGAGCAGTCGACGCCACAACGCCACGCACACTGCACATATACACATACATCACGCCGGTATACAACTATAATTAACATCGAGAGGGAGAAAATCGTCGCACCTGCGAGGCTCACCCGCGGTACGGGTATAAACTTTGCATCCGTTACCTCCCTCGGGCTGACGGTTTGATCGATACATTGTTTATTTGTACACACGCCTTTCGCAAGAGTGGCAGCGCCAACAGCTCGTTGTTTTAATAACATTATTAAGTCGATAAATCAAAGGGTGAACGAGAGCATTATACGTATATATACACATCCACACCAGAGGGAGGGGAGGCTCAAGATTTTTTCACGCAAATATACAAAGTCCCGTAAAATGTATCGTATACGGTTATGTTTTCATTGGGTAAGCAAAGTTTTCTGTATGTACGGACAAGACCTATATTTTGTTGCAAGTATTTTATTTCAACTGTAGCGCGCGCGCGCCCCGATGCTGCTTTTGCGCAACAACAACGCCCACAACAGCGTACACTCGTATATATACGTGTGCTAGTGGGTTTGCTGAATTCATAACTTCATTTGTAATTTTCACCAAGTCGGGCGTATAGGTATACATATTCGCCCGCATATACCTACGTGGCGCGAATACATATATTCTCGATTACGCGCCGGTAAGTAACACGAGCCGTGGGAACTTTAATGCTTCTTATTGGTCAATGCCAATCAGCGTCGAATAAATTTTACTCTTAATCTCGTATCGCGCACTGATGTTAGATACGCGGGTACACACTCAATTAGATCACACGAATCCGATATCCCTACACATCACTTTGGTGTATTCATGCAAACACGTGTTCGTATACAATTAATCCCCGAGTTTTACGATCGACGTCCGTCTGCATCGTTTTTTTTTTTTTTTTTTTTTTTTTTTCTGCACCGTTCAACGGAAAACGAGACGCGAGCTTTTACTTTTGTACCACACTCGGGACGATTTTTTAACGCCAAGTGGACTCTTTCCGATTATTGATTTTTTTTTTTTTTTTTTTTTTTTTTACAAGGCAACCGATACACGTTTGTACGTAAGTGGCGTTTACGCAAAGTGCAATTGTTATTTAGCTGTATGAATAATTTGTTGAATCGGAGGGTAGATCGGATGCAGCAATTTCGAGCTGAATGGGTTTCGGCCGATCGAAAGCCGACAGTCAATTAAATTGAAATGAAACGACGGTCGCGAGGGGGGTTCACGTAACAAAGGGCGTATTTTTCGTCCGCATCGAATATCAGCACAAATCGCGTGCGGTGTTACCCAACGTTGACGGGCTGATCTATATTTTATTGTACGTGTGTGTGTGTGTGGGGCTGTCGGTTCGTGGATTTACGGGACCTTAGTTGTTTTAATTAAACATGGACTCGGCGATCGTCGTCGTCGTCGACTATCGGGAGCATATAATTGAAGTGATTTACGATGTGCAGGTATATATATACACCCACTAGATGCAATTTCTATAATCACAAAGGTTATTTTCCCCTCGTCAGTTTTTGAAGAAATATTCTTCCCCGTTTCCATCTGTACAGAAAAAAAAAGGCGAGCAGATGTAGTTGCGAAATAGCCGATTTTTCACGTATTAATTGAGAAACAATTACAAATGAGCAAAGCGACACCCCGAGTGCGTACCATTTGCCGCTCGAACAGTTAAAAATTGGATTAAAAAAACAACCCGGGCGGCGCATGGTGTATCATATATAATTGACACGGTGTATACACTAGCGACACAAAAGAATTGCCCCCCCCCCCTATATAAATTTCGGTCATTGCTACGTAAACATAATTAATACCGCGAAGGCGCGCGACTCTTTTGGGAATTATCGGGGAAGGGAGGGGTAGCCAATATAACAATAATTATAACCCTGGGAGCACCGCGTTACGTTTGCATTGTAAAGCGCGAAAATAAAATCGGCAACTCGAACGTATACACATGTACGGCAGTTTTGTCGATTGTAAGGTTTAATTCTAGAACGCGCGAGTATAGGCAGGGGTCAAACAGACGTAAGCGCGGCTCCACGCGGAATGACGGGGGGGGGGGGGGGGGGGGGCAAAAAAATCGCGACGTATGGGTACGTCCCAGTAGACCGCGCGCGGCAAGTGCCCGCGAGAGCGGCAAAATAATAGATTTCGCCGCTCTCTTTGTCAGCGCTGGACCCCCGTAAACGCGATCGCAATTTATCTCGCGGACCACCACCACCTCCCCCTCCTCCCTTGTACAAGGTGCTCCAGCTTCTTCACGTAACTGCTGTCTCTTTTTCTTTTCTTCTTCTATCCCTGGCTTTGATACGTGTGTGTACATCAGGTATATAGTGTAATTTTCTCGATGGAGGGCATCACAAAAAGACAAAGTCTAGTATAGAATGCCGAAGGACGGGGACCGCCTCGACTTTTACGGCCGCGTTGTTTCACAAGTCAAATTTATATTGTTACCCATGTGTCGCGGGTATACCTATACAAGTGTATTAACGAGGTCGTCGCAATGGGAAAAAAAAAGCCTCGCGCCCATGGACTGCGTTGTTGTCGTCACACGCGTGTACGTACACATGTATTTTTTTCGAAACTCTTTTTCCACGCAGTCTTCGACAACCCGTGCCTTTTTTTTCCCCCATCCCCGTCAAATGGCACTCCTCGAACATCGTCTGTGACATTTATCGACGCGTACTACAACCGATGATCGGCGAGCATTGTTCGGCCGAGGCTTTAACGCACGCGATTCTTGCGATTCTCGTTTCTAGTGAAATACTTTCAATATACTTATACCCACGGTCTCGTTGTTCTTTTACTACTAATGTACGTCAAGAGAAATATCATACCCCCACACACACACACGCTTACATAAACAATGTTATGAAAGCCGATACATCATATAAGTATGTTTGATGCTCGGTATGATCAAACATATAGGTGCGCGTGCCTATTCATTTTGTTTTTTTTTTTTACACGTTGATTTTGCCGTTATTCACGTGGCGTTGCATTACAGATATCTCCCTCCCCCCTTTGGTATTTACGTTACATTTCGTTTGATTCTCCTCGTAACCGCTGTACATGCGTATACTTATACTTGCGGATAATTATGTCGCAGCGGGTTTGACAAAATGTAAGCGGTGACGTATATATATACAGTGACACTATCGATATCTTCGGAGATAACGAGGTAAAAAAGGATATCGGCGTTACATCACCACAAAAGCCGCGATCGAGTGTAAAGCCGGTGGCGAAAAGCTCCGGAGATTTTTGGAGACAATCGGCGCAATCAAGCCTTCCGTAAAAAGGCCCGGGGGCGACCCGAGGGTTAACTCCTTCGGGGGAAGGAGAAGGGCCCGTCGATCGATCGCCGGGAGGCAAAACCCCCGTGGGCCGCCTCAAAGGGGTAAACCTCGCTCAACCGATGGGCATTTACGTTGTAGAAAGGGAGTGGGGCAGGTGAAGTGTGAGCATTTTTTTTTTTTTTTCTTTTCTTCTACATGCACGTAAGAAGAAATCGGCACCGATGTATGGCGCGAGAGGAGCGAGGGGGAACGCCCGAGTCTCCTGGCTGGGTATATAAACTGGCCGACTTGGCCGTTGTCTGCATCAGTTCTAACTCGACTGTCCTGTCGAAGTCCACCGAACCTACTCACTCGTCTAACCGATTCTCCTTCGTCGCCATGAAGACCGCCATCGTAAGTATATACTCTACTTTTCGGTTTTTTGTCACATTTGTGGCATCCATAGAACAAATCTTGGTACCCGTTGTTAGTTCATTTGAGAAAATAGGAATGCATGTATCATTGAGTGTCGTATATGACGTACAGGTACTTGTTGCCATCATCGCTGCCGTGGCTTCGCCCATATTCGCCGAAGAAGCTCTCGAGGCTAAGAAGCAAGACAAGAGGGGAGTCCTTGGTCTGGGATACGGCGGTTATTACAACGGACTGGGATACTCCGGGCACGGATACTCCGGACTGGGATACGGAGGATACGGAGGTGAGCCCTGAAATATATACATTGTATAACCGCCCATAAATAACGATCTCGCAAAGTTGCGAAACAAAAGCTCCTGCTGGTGCAGGTTTTCGATTCGAAAATTAAAAAAAAAAAGGAATCCAATAAAGATTTTAATTTCAAAGGGAACGCTATCTCTCCGGCGTTTCGTTGGGAACAATGAGCAATTATACCGATCAATAATGATCTGCAACGAAGAAAGGAAGGCTTTGATTTGCGGAAAATCATGGAGCATTGTGCGCATGAATATTCCAGGGGTGATTTTTTTTTCTTTTCTCTCCCGTTCGACCAACACAATGGCCCCTGCTGTAATTGTGTTGCCGCAACCCACTTGATTACCGCATATAGGCGTGGGGCCCAGTTGTTTCGCAACACGAGATGTATTAAATCAAAAGTAAGTCTCCATATTATCAATAAATCCGATGGGATGTTCTTAGGCTACGGTTACCTCGGGGCGCCTCTGTACAACTCGGCTCACGGCTCGGTCCTGCCCGCCGGTGCGTACGCGCACGGCCCGGTCGTCGGCAATGGTTACCACGGCTCGATCTACAACTCGCCCTACCGCGTGGGCTACAACGGGCTTGGACTCGGACACGGTCTGGGCCTTGGCGTGGGACACGGACTCAACTACTGGTAGGCTCGACGATTGGGCCGCGCCAACGATAAACTACTGATTATCGTGGAAACGAGCGTTTACATGCATTTCCTTTTTTTTTTCATTTCTTGTACGATTCGAACGATTATAGTTGCCAGTAGCAGGTGTATTTTTGTATGCTTCCCATCAAAGTGAGTGCCTGGATGATTTTGGTCATTATATCGTTCCTTCTTCCTTTGGATTCCTTATTCTTTCATCTTTTTTTTTTTTTCTTCTATTTTCCAAGTATTCATGATGTAAGATTTGTACTGAATAAAATTTAATTTTTTTCAAAAGCACATGTATGTTTCTCTTTTCTATCCTGGAATCTACAGATAATAATCCTACAACAAAAACCTTCATCTTTGCTGTTGTACTACTATTTTTAAAATTGAGCGGAGCAACGTTATCGTGTGAAACTTTTGTTTTAAAAGCACGCATAATCTCAATCATTTTTTTGTGACGCGTCATAGTGCGTCATTTATTAATGTTGGACGATTTTCTTGAATTTTGGACGTTTATTCCATCTTTGTTGAAAAAAAAAAGTGTTCGAATAGTGTTTGGAAATCACCGAAAAACGTTAAAGATTATAAGTTTTTTAATATTGTTTGAAATATTATTGTATAATGTTCCTAGATAATAGTTTTTGTTGTGGAAAATTATCCATATACGCTTCGTTGAAGTAGAACTTTATATTTTATGTAACTTAACTCAGTGATGAATATTGCACTGAAATATTGACTTTCAAATATTATATTTTTACAATTTGGTTTTTCATTTACCATCATTGGTAATTGAAATTACTGTAGAGATTCACGTATGTCAAACCAACGAGCGGTAACGTAGGAGCACACGATATATAAGCTATATTCAGTACTTTTTAAATATTTAAAAACTCCCGCTCTCACCAGTTGGCGCGCTCATCAAAAGTCGTCTGCTGTGTTTTGGTTTTAGAGCTGTCTGCAACAGAAATATGCATTAAGAAAAGTGCAGTGTGTTGTTTTTTTTTTACCAAAACATTAATTAGTATAAGAATAGTTGTAAAAATGAACGTTATTGCTAGGAGTGTTACAAGTTTGGCGAGGATATGTCTCGGGAGGACTGTTGCAGGTACTCTTCAATCGATCAGAAACCATTTACTCGCATCCATCTAACCTCCAAAGTTACAACTTTACATTGTACAATTTGTAATGTAACAAATCAACAATACAACTTACGAGTGTTGTTTTGAGTAATGTTTTTGCGTTTTAGGCACTTCCACTACAATTAGTCATTACAATACTTCGAGCTTCGTTGGAGGTAGCGTCAGAGTTTGATTTGTTAAATATTCCAATAGTATACAGTGTAAACATAAACATCGTTTGCGTGTTTGTCGGCAGGTTTTGGGAGCATACTGTCAGCAGCTAGAAACTACTTGGGAAATCCACTGCAAGGTAAACAAAGGACGCAATCGCAGTAACTGCATAATAATTGAGGTATCCGAGGCGTGTGACGAAAAGCGCGGCTCTGTATAACAGTACATACGAAGGACGTTTTTAAAATTCTGCATAGGCGTAGTAACCGTGACCTATTTTCGGGCCAGAAGACCTTCATAGTTCTTTCCACAGGAAGAACGGGGTGCGAAAGAATCGGATCGTCTCGAGTTACATCGCATTGTATGTTGGTACAGAGCTATGCTCATCTCGTGATGCGTGCGAAAGGATGCCATCAGCGGAGAGAAAAAGAGCTCTTCCCCCTTTTTTTTCTGTCACACGTACGCTCTAGACTGGGGCTCTTTTCGTATGCGAAAAACAGGGAGAGAGGAAGGAACAAAAAAAAAAAGGATGAAAGAAAGGAGAAAACTCTTTACCTCGTTCTCAAGAAGAGAATGCGAAAAAAGGACAAGCAAAGAATATTTCGTGTGCCGGACGATGAATACGGGGAATAAGGGGGGAAGCGTGGAAAATTGAGGAGAATAGCCGACGCTGTTGTTGTCTGCTTATACCTAATACCCGTACCTTCCCATGTGTGCCTTGGATGATCGTCGAAAATCGGTGGGGGTGACGTGTCCATTTGCGGTTGACCGGCTCGTTTCCACGAGTCGCAGTCGCAAGATGTCCTCACCTATACTTGGGAAAATTTTTCGATTTCACGGTTTTTCATCGTCACCTTTCCCAGACACATGAGCATCAACAATGCGGTCAATCACGCGTGATCGTTTCATTACTTTCGTGTCCTCGAATTAAATTTGATTCATCGAAAATGTACGACGGCAATTTGCATTTTAGCTTCGCAAATCGATCCCGAGTACGATAAATTAACAGCAATCGTTTTGGATGCTTTACGACGCTTCGAATGCAAAATCCGGTCCGGGACTTGAATCATCCTTTGTTGTGTGTTTTCGCCATCAACGACAACCATACACGGACTGTCGACGTTTTTCAGCGAAGCGTCGGGAAGAAAAGCTAATGCAAGAGTTGATCCGAGATAAAGAATATTCGGGCTCAATCGAGAGAAAAAAGTGAAGCAAAGAAGGACGAGGAGGGAAAAACGCGCGCATGAGCGACGAAGAATCTCGAAAAGTAAGGGAAGCAGCGATGCGCGACACAAAAGCACAACGAAGACGGCACCGTTGGAGAAAAACAGGAGGGGGGAGAAAAAATTTTCGCAATGTAATCTTGCGTATTGATCTTGGGGAAAAAGGGGTTGCCTTCTGCAAGCACAATGGGCCGCCGGGGCCCCGAGCTAAGTCCGACGCATCGAGTTAGGTCGGATTAGCAGCGCTGGACTCTTGGACATCTGTCGCATTGATGGACGATGGTCACTCTCTCTCTCTCCCTTTTTCCATCTCAAAATGAACAATCCCGCTGCCTCGCTCACAAAAGTTCATTTCGGCCTCTCTCTCTCTCCCCACTTTCCTTTCTCCCCCTGTGCCCTTTATACACATTCGATCGCTGTGCTCGCTTTATTTTTCCTGCCACGGCTACCCAAGTCCGGCAAACTTTCTCCCAAAATCGCAGTTGCGCACTTGATCGCTCGTTTCCCCCTTTGCCTCGTATTCTAATCACAAACGTGTAGGTATATTTACCTGTACAAATGAAAATGGGCAGGGAGAAAAATCGTTGCGTCTTGGAAAAAAAAAAAAAAAAAAAATGAAAACTCATGGTTGCACAATGCTGCGGGTGTTGCGGTATTGGCTTAAGAAAAAAATTGACGTATCGTTGTGCTGTGTGGCATCATAGGTATATACGTGAGTTGTACCGGGAAGTGGTGGCGGCAAGAAAAAGCCAATTCCCCAAAGCCAAATCGATCCTTCAGCCGAAGAGACTGCAATACACCTACCTACCTACCTGTATCCTGTAATGTAGAAAGAAAGCGCATGCGGAAAAAAGGAGAACGTGGGTATATATGTGTACGGAGAAAGGGGCAGTTTTGAGCTCGCGAGCGACCTCCGACCGCGCGGAGCTTCTCCTCCCGAGTTCGAGGCAGCGTTGCTTAATAAGCTTACGCACGTCCCACCTATATGCGCATTGTGTCCATTCGCTCCTTGGGAGGAAGCGGCTTGCAGATGTCAGGCGCTCGTCATATTCGTTTCTCCTCCTTTCATCCTCGCTCTTCTGACCCCCTCTCGCCCCAGCCCCTGTGGACCTTCCTTCTTCTGGCCGAGATTATGTTTTGGCGAAAGAGTTTGCCTCGAGACCCTTGGCAAATTTTCGGTCCCTCCCTCCCTCCCTCGTCTTTTCCTTTTATTCGTGTGTTATATAATTCCTCGTTTTTCTGGGTCCCTTTGTGTTCTCCTTCCGAATAAGCGAACGTGACAAATTCGAGGAAAAAATTTTTTCCTTTTTTCTTCTCTCCACTAGCGTATTATTCTACTCGTGGGTCGTTGCCGATTTTTACATTTTTTTTTTTATTTAATGTTAACGGTTAAGGTGTTTTTTTCACATGCCTAATCTACCGGCCGATATTGCGATACTCTAACTCGTGTGATTTCACAAACGAATTAAAATACAATTAAAAGTTGCTCGCAATAGTTACAGCCGCGCCTCTATCGCGAATACAAATATATCTAACGAATAAAAAAAATAGCGATACCACGTATCAGCGAACTGGGTCACAAGAGGGAGGACATTTTTTTCTTCTTCTTTTTTTTTTTTTTTAAATTTGGAATTTCCAAAACCAGTAAGTTATATCGGTTGGATGGCCAATCCATTATTTTCGCATTTAGAACGTTACACGGGTGTGCTTCGACTCGTGGCTGTATGTTGAATTATCTCTCTGATTTTTCAAGGTTTGTTGATCGCCCGGCCGAAATTCACACTTACGTAGGTGGAAAAAAATGTCGATTCGATACGTGTAAAAACGTTAAAGATGTTTTTCACGCCAATACTAATGATGCACAATTAGAGCTACTTTAGACCAAATCGTCGTTTTGAAATAGACCCTGGTATCGATTTTCGGGGAATCGGTATCAATAGTCGCGCGATTTCACGGCATGGTGCAATTTTCATTGTTTCCGTTGTGATCGACAGGTTTCGAGCAGATAAGGCAAATGGCGAGTCTGTATAGGATGCACAGACTAGGGATTCACGTGAAGAAGAGGAAACTGAAGAATCCCTTCGGCCCGGGCAAGCCGTTCGCCAAAGGCGTCGTACTCAGGACGGTGATCAAGAAGCCAAAGAAGCCCAACTCGGCAAACAGAAAGTGCGTCGTCGTGAGGCTGTCCACCGGCAAGGAAATGACTGCCTACGTGCCAGGTGAACACCAACGTGTTTTGACGCGCGCAGATCATCTTCAAACCATAGGATTTTAACTTTTTTTTTCTTTCTATTTCTCATTTACAGGCGAAGGACACAATTTGCAGGAGCACAGTATCGTCCTGTGCAGAGTCGGCAGAACCAAAGACGTTCCCGGTCTGAAGATCAAGTGCGTCCGCGGGAAGTACGATTTGCCGCACGTTGTTAAGAAAACCCAGTAAAGCTCGACGACATTGTGGTTTTTTATCATATAAGTTATTTGGTTCAATAAAAACTATATTACAAAACAGATGCTGTACGTGATGAAGTTTTTAAAACGTTCACGCCTAACGGGACACGCTCGCAGGGGCATCGGTGTTCCGAAAATTCGACACGCGTCAAATTCGAGCTGCTACATCCTGCACGCCTATCACGAGCAAACATCGACGCCCGGCCAAGAGTTACAAACACAGATGAAACTCGGATCGCGCCATTGACACACATTTTCCAGGGCTCTACTTGCACCACGCTTTTCCAAAAACCAGGGGGGGTGGGGAGAAATGGGGTGAAAAGTGCTCAATGCCAGCCACCATCACACACATGGCACGCGCGCACAATGGGGGCCCCGGGAAATAACGTTATTACGAAAGGGTTGAGCCCTTTCCGCATCTGCGCTCGCGGCCAGCTTTGGCCATTGACCATATGACACGCTGACCAACATACACAAGTCCGAGCCGCCCCCTCCCTCCCCTGGAAGTATTCTCGGTTTTCAGCTTTCTGGCCTCTGCCACGCTCCTCTCGCTGTATTTATTCAGACGGACGATCTCGTCGCGGTGTCTCATTGCACTCTGTAACTTAAAACTGATGCTGCTGCTTTGCGACGACGCCGTTTTTTTGAATGCCCTTGCGATTGTTTGTCTTTTCGGCGTTAAAACTCATTTTTAACAAACGCTGCGGAAAGAGGAACAAAACGCGAGGACAGAGTAAATACTTGGTTCGCGTGCGGAGGGTGTGCTCTTTCGGTCGAAAAATAACATAAACAATAACCGATCTCGAGCAAGCGAGTTTGAAAGGAAACGAGGAAAATGGTGTGTGTGCGTGTGCGTGTTATAGGTACAGCTGAATGGAAAGAGAGTAGAGAGTCGGCAACCCATTCGTTTCGCCGTGAAAAGGGCCGCGTCGGCGAGATGAGGCTGCGATATTTAAGGGCGGGACCTCGCACGCGACTGGATTTTCGCGACGCGCGCTAGCCACGTGGCGTCGCTCCGTTACTCCATTGCTCTATATGCGTTTTCCAAAATCCGGCAACTCCCCCCCGCGCTCCTCCTACACCGGCCTCCGACTTGAAAAATCCACTGACTCACCCTCTCCACCATTAAACACACAACACGCGACCGCCTCCCGAGATAGGCCGTCTGTTTTGTCAGCGGCGCCGCTCTTGTATCGGCCTACATGCTCCATTTTGGGTTGTTTTACCATTTATTGTGGTGAAAAATGAATTGGGCCGCTATAGGTAACGCAAAAGTCTCTGATCTTCCTGCCGCTTAGGAACGAACATTCACGCTCGAAGATGACGTCACCGCTTAATTGCGCAAAATGGTATTTACTGCGGGTGCAATAAAATCGGGGAAAAATGTTTTCCTTTTTTTGGCACAGATGACAATTCGGGAGACTTTTTTATTTCAAGGCTTTACGATGCACGAGTAAAACGCGTTATGGTGGCACCTTTTTTTCTTCCAAGTGAAAGGTATAGAAAAAAAAAAAAAAAAAAAAAAAAAAAAATAGCACTCCTCTCGGGACATCCCGAGAGCGTATTACGGCAGCAGAGAGCATGATTGCTCCGAGTTGCAATAATACTTATCCGTCGGGAAAATCCGCAGGGCCATTTTTACTGCCGGAACAAAAAAAAAAGGGACCCCCTATAAAAGTCAAAGGCCCGCCAAAGAGAAGGAAGCGCTCGGAAACTGTTGCGATCGGCGCGACGGAGACGATAATATACACTCGTCGAAGAAAAACTGGTGAAAAAAAAAAAAAAAAAAGAAAAATCATACTTTTCGGGTATTTCCAACCAACGCGTTGTGTATACATGAATTACTTGCTCGAAGAGTTGGTGCATATACCGAGATAATTGAACGGCCGTATGAGCTGCGCGAGTACAAGCGGTCGTTAACTCATTTCCAGGCGCGGCGATTTTCCGAGTCAAGCCAAGTTAATCCGCAACGACGAGGCTTCGGCTCTCCAAGCCTAATCCCGCTCGTAAAAGCCACGACATTTTCCTCCTCCCTTCCGTTTTTTCGTACACACCAATGCTCCTAATAGAAAAAAGTTTGCGCCGTAAAAAACACAACTGTTGACGAGAAAACGAGCAACAACAGACGCGTGCGAGATAACGTATAGGGTTTGCGAGTTTCAGAGATTGAAAAATCGCTTCCCTCGTGCATAGGTATACGCTTACACGAAACGTGCTCGGCTGTTCTTATCTGCTCGGCTGCACAATCATGCTGGAGCCTCTCTCCTGGGTGTTGTAATAATCAAAGCAGGTATAGCTGTACAAAACTCTGTTTGCCGCTGTTGCACGTAAATTTTGTAATCTTAATGTTACATTTTTTCGGGGAATTATATGGTGGTGGATTAGTGTTTTGAAGTTACGTTTTCCCGGTATAGCCCTATTCTTACGAACGATGGGCACAGCCTGTGTGTATGCGTATACAGGTACATCGAACGTCATTCGAATAAGTCCGAAGAGACAAACAAGCGTCCATACGAGCACAAAGGGGGGGGGGATTGGACAGACTTTGGTGAGAATGTTATTCTCGTGGTCGAGGAAGGTTGTACAATATATAAGAAATGTATAATATCACGAGCATTAAATGAAAAAGTAAAAAAATATTTTGTTGAATAAAATGCAGTCCAGGCCGCGCGGCAATATTGAAAAAACTTTTTTCGCGTTCGAAACTGAAAATAGACAAAAGATTGTGGCTCGACCTCGATTGCAATTGAAATCGCCACCTGCTATATGATATTATACCAAGGCTCGTTAACAGCTAGCCACGAGCGCAGTGATCTTGAATACATCCAACTTATCTCTGGAGTAATCATCAAGAAGTTCGCGATTAAAAAATAATTTTTTTTCTAGACTCTAAATGTAATATTCTCGTTCACCGAATATACAAATTTTAAAGTAAAAATCACGTTTCGTGATCGATTAGCCGTACCGATCTTGTACCGCAAAAGAAAAAAAAAAAAAAAAACACGCGCACCTGCTAAAGGAACCGGCAAAGAAAAGTACATAAAAAAAAAAAAAAAAGAACCGGGTTCTCTACACCAGATAACAGTACCCCCGATGGGGGTAGGTGTGTGCTATGCATGCATCGGGGTAAACATGGATGAAAGGGGGGGAAAAAAAAAAGTGAGCGGCGCGCATCTTGGGCTTAAGGGTATACGTTGTTATACATTAAACACAGCAGGGGCACATGTACAATGTATTTTCCGCGCTAGCCTCCCGAAGAAAAAGGGGCGTGGGCGCGTGTCGCACGTAAATAAGTGTATACCACGCAAGAGAGGAGCCAAAGAAAGCCGTTCGGCAAACACGGCCGTAGAAAGGAGGGCAAACATCACCAAACTGGACCATCGGCTCGTTACGAGGACGCACAACTCTTTTGGGCCTCGGTGGTGGATACGCATATACACAGAGGGGCTTACAGCTTAGCCGTAACTGGACACCGTCGCGACGTGGTGTCGCATCCACTCGAAACGCCGTATATAAGCATCTGCATATATCTTTTATACATCCCTCTCTGCTGCGCCGACGATGGCTCCTATACACACCATTCCGCGTATGTGCGCTCGATTTACTCTATTTTCGCTCGATGGTTATATAGCGGACTCCTTTTCGTTTTCAAAGTATACCCTATACGTCTATACATACATATATACGTGTAGCCAAATCGGTGACAGACTAGAAAAGAACCTTGTGAGCATTATGTATATTATGGGTGTGCGCGGTGAGGTTGTTGTTATACCGATGTCCTGCACACGAGGTGCGTCTAGACGCACTGCCGGATTTACGGTTTCCCGGTGATGCCTATGGGCCAATGAGGTATACATGCATTTATAACCCGTTCCCACTTGAATTGTAAACCCGTGATGAGAGGCCTCTTTTTTTTTATTGTGCTGGGGTCGAGCACTTTCTCCTTGGGTCGAGTTGACCGCGGGAGGCTCGAAAACAAACACCGCACTAAACATAATTATAGAAAACATTCGTGATATATAATATATATATATATTGTATGTATCCACGAGCTCGTAAAATCTTTAATTTTTGTGCAGAAAGAACCGAGACTGTCAATTTCCCTTGGTCTCGTAAATAGGGGGGGTACAGTGGGCATATTCGCGTGAATACAAAAAAAAAAAAAAAAAAAAAAAAAAAAATCGGTAGCTCGGTGCAATTAGCCCCCCGGCGCTCGGACGACAAAAAGTCTCGAGAAGAGGAAAGACCATCAGCTTTGTAATGTATATTCTTGCGGATTATTTGGGGCAGCGGCGCGGGCGTGTGCTGATGGACGGAATTGAAAGGTCTTTTGGCGATGCAACCCCTGGGTGGTATGACGGATCGGCGATTAATAGCCATGTGGTTGTCGCACGAAGGTCCCCCCGTCGACTCGGAGGAACAGTTTAGCTGTGCTTTTTTGCTTATACGGTGTACTAGAATTTTTGGTGAAACCAACATTTTCGCATCGTTGGACTTTGAGAAAAAAAAAGAAATAAAAATTCTTATAAACGAAGCTAATGGCCAGAGAGATCGTTAAAGATATATCTTTGCGAGGCGTCGAAGAGATTCTTCGATTTACTTTTCTACTAGGCGGGTACAGTGTATTAATGGAGGGGCTCAATTTTGTACTATTAGACGTGAGCTAATGGTCATACGACGACGCATACGCGGAGGACCTCCTATGGATTTTCGTCCGAGTGACTTCCGTCTGCATGTCGTGGTGCATAGGTATATATTTCTTTTTTCGGCGGGACCACATCATCATCGTCTCTTTCAACTATACTTCAATGTCGCAGGAAACGTCTTTCTCGGCGTCGTCGTCAGTTATCTCATGGTTATTTCGCCTGATTTATAGATTTCACGCAAGTCGACTTCATTTTTCTTGACTCGCGACAAATGTGTGCCTACGTATCGTTTGGACACACATCGGCATGTCATATACGATTATACAGCTTTCGTGCTGGACGTGAGAGAAAAAAATCATCTGGCTACTGCAAAGCAGTGTAAAATCGTAGGCTTTCGTTGTACAATTTTGATTTTAATTTATTTTCTGCTAGATAAATGGTTAAACAAAGTCGTTTTTAAAAATTGGGCGCCTATCGTTAATACGAATAATTTAAGTGGTTACACGTAAATGTGTACATTGTAATTCTGGGGTGCAATTACTTAAAAAACATTTCGTGCGCGTTATTGCATGGACTTCATTAAAGTTATACCTATACTTACTGTAATTGCTTACACCGATTTTCGGTGGGCAAAATCGTGTCTTTCGCGGTTTTTCACGGTAATACAGGGAAACGAAAAATGCGTATACAAACGTGAGACATTTTTTTTTGTTTTAATTCAGATTTGGATTTTTAAGGGTTTTTTGGGTTGTTAGGAGTTATAGACAGGAAGACAGGAAATTGAAAAAAATTGGAATTTAACAAATGTGTTACAAAGTAAACCCGTTATTAAATAAACAAAAAAAAGAAGGAAAAAAAGTGTGGTTTGACGCAATAGACGCAACAAAGAACTCATAGCCCAAACTCGTGAGGTAGTCATGAAACGATTTGTCAAAAAATAGAAAAAAAAAAAAAAAAAAAATTTTGAAAAAAAACGAAAAATAAAATGATTGACGGACGGAAGAGTTATTGCTCGGTGACGCGAAACGCACCGATAGTTAGAGGAAAATCCCCAATTAGTTGTCAAGCGGCAATACGCGCGCTTCTGTTGCTAAAGCGTTAAAACATCACAGATAAAACTAATACGTGTACCTTTGCAGAACGAAAAAAAAGATACCTATACACGTATCCAAGTGATGAGCGTCGTGTGGCACCAATGAATCATCTTTGGTAATACGAAAGAGCGATAATACATTCAAATCTTCAGGTATATCTGTACATGTAATTTCGACTCGATTCTGTAATCAACAATAAAAACCCGATATCGGTATCTGTTGCGCCCGAGAAACACTTGCATCAATAACCGCTATATTCTTTGGCCAAGACTAGCTGCCCTCACCTTTCGTCGAAATGCCTATACCGATGCTCTTTATCCCAGAAACTTTAATATCCATAGTTAATAAGTATACGCAACCCTATATTGGCCGATCCGATAGCCGATCGGTACAGTTTAGCAACTGAAGCGCAAAACCGTTATCTCGAAAACTCAAAAAATTTGAAGGGAAAACCGTGAAAGCCCTGCGTCGCTATTGTACGTATATCTGCATAAATGTCCCGTTACGGAAGGACATGTGTGCCGCGACGAGGCGTGAGTGAAAAAACGCGGGAACGGGGAAAGGTGTGCACCTCGCCGATGCGAACGAGAATCGTATTCGCTACGCTAATTGACGTGTCGTCGATGAAGCGCGCGTGCACTCATATATATATGTACACAACGCACATTGTAGGTCCATGTGTATAAGGGACATCCACAAGGTTTGCGTGAATGATCGAGAGGCTCCTGTGGGACGTTGACAAAGAGCCGCAACGGCACCGTTAGATCGTCATCGAGGCGCAGATCCCCGTTGCTCTCTTTTTGGAAGACGAGAGAATGTATATATATATATATATATAAATGTATATATATATACATACACATATATATCAAAGNTATAACTTTTGAGAAAGTAGGTATATATATATATATTATGTGTGTGCCTTTTGCAAGCAGCAGATGTGGCTCGGAAAAAGGGAGACTCACCGCTGGTGCCGATGATGGTGGAATAACGGGTTGCGCGGCCCATATTATATACACAATTTAGAGAATATACGTATAATATAGGTTATGTGGTCGAGATGAAATTTGTATACACAGCACACACGCGCATAATACCCATCCATGGGAATGAAGAAGGGACACGGCGTGTGGAGGAGGATGCAAGGTCATACACGTATATATACATCAGATACAATACGCGGGGATGGGTCCCCTGCTTTCCGCGAATGGAAATGCGTTACCTGATGGTCTGCTCCCCTTTCTCCGGCTTCGGAAGAAAAAAAAAAAAAATATATGTATATATAAAGCACAATATACGCGTAGGTGTTCACGCAGGGCCACTAGCCTCGATTTAGCGTAGTTTGCCGGGAGGCGCGGTCTATACGTTATTATAACTCAAAATACTCATTGTCCGAGGGATTCCTCGAATCTCGTGTACATACCGATCATGTCTTCGAGCTCTCATCATTTATACATTTTTGACAGTCTCTCGCTCGTACGTTTGTTTGTTTATTTTTTTTCTTCGCCTTTTGAGTTATTGGTGCGCGATTACGAAACTATGAAATTCTAATGCAAATCGGCTTTCCCTTTTTTTTTTTATTGCTGTTGTTTAACGAACGAGGTTCCGAAGAAAAAATGTCCGTCTCGGGTGAACTAATGACTTGCGAAGCTGTACAGTGGGGGACACGTGGCACACGATTGTTCCCATCCGATTGTGTATATATAGAAACGCACACTGTAAAAGATCGAGTGCTTGGAAAAAAAAGAGCTTTGTCGGCTTGCGGGCCCACACTGTGAGTGTCGCAAAGTTCATAATTTCGTGTCGGAGTCGGTATAGGTATGCAAATTTACGAGGGTGACGTCGGAAATGATGACATAATCCCGGGCCTAGTGTCAAATTACTTAGAAGGCCCATAAGAGTTACGGAGTGCAATAAACTGCACTTCGTGCTGTCGAGCAAAACATGACTTTGAACCGAGTTCGGGGATACATTTATGTATATCTGTATCTACGTGTACATAACTCACCTATACGCATCACGTACACCACGAGAAATCGGTATGTGCATTTGCATCTGTAACAAAGTGTACGCAAATAAGTGTACGTAGGCAAAGGAAAAGTCCAAAGTGAAGATACTACCGGATTATAAGGACCAGATTCAAAGGAAGGGTTGCGACTACGACGACAGAGTTTTATGGGCCTTTTGCGTTAATTGCTCGGTGTCAAGCTTCGGGGGTACAACATGATGATAAATCACAGTTAGCGCGGCATAAGTACATGCACATCTCACAGGGGCACAAAACACGGAGCTTAAAGTCATCATGGGGCTGGGGAGACGGGCGCAATGTTTCAAAGGGTTTTCGGGACGAAATTCGCGGTAGCCCCTCGTGACTTTCCAAACATTTGCACGGGCTGTTGTTGCAGGGAAAGCGAGATTCGGGCACTTTGGACTAAATTATTCTGTGTCAAGGGCTTTTCACGGCTCGTGAGACGTAAACATCTTACTTTCCCGCAAAAACTAATACAACACCCATCGCATGATACATACGTGAAATATTGTACGGAATATGAATTTATTCAAGAGACACGAGAAACGAAGAGAAAATTAACAAATACGATAATGTGCACGCGCGCAGTTTTTTTTTTTTTTAATCGCATTGTAGTATAGCTCATTCAGAAAGTTGAATATCAATTCTCTTAATTGTTGAATTTTCGTAAACCCGCGGTATAACATAAATTGTATTATATTAATTAGCGCGAGGAGTGTGTCTATATTATCGTTGACTAATGTTCTTAACAACCGGTAGTTGCGTTTTTTAACGGATTTTTTATTACTACGACGTATGCGCGTGCTCTTAATTGGAAACGACAAAAAAAAAGGGTTGTTAGGAGTTATAG